TTTTGAAGTACATTGGCCAGACTGAGTAGTTGCTACAGAGGCCATGTAGCCCATACAACCTGAAATATTGACTACCTGGCCCTCTAAAGAGAAAGTTTGTTGGGCACTGCTCTAAAGGATCCTCAAGTTCAGGGCTATTGCATTTCACTTTTGGTCCTCATAGTACAGCTATTATCTATGCCACTAAATTATATTTAAAGTGTGAAGGGCTCTTTAAACATGAGAAGTTTAAAATAGTTTATATACTTATCCCTGTTCCTGGATACAGGGAGAGAATCTTCAGCTTATATGTGAATTCCAAGGGATTCTATAAATAAAGTAAAAAATGTAAAGGAAGGACATTTGTTTTTCCTTAAACACAGTTCAATTATTGATTGATTTGTATTTTAAAATGTCTTAATTTTGGTGATAAAAATAAAAGTACTATAGCTCTATAAAGGCTAATGAGGAATATGCCAGCTGACTTCTTAAAATGCTAAAATTAACACTTCAAAGATAAAGTGTTTCATAATTTCATGCCTGAATATAGCATGACCTTCAAGGAATATATATTTCTTCAAGATGGAGAAAGGAAAGTCATAATAACCAATCCCAAATGAATACAACTTTAATTGATGAAGCCTGAATTTTTAAAAAATTTATTATTGATTTTTAGAGAAAGAGAAGGAAATACTGACCACCCATTCATGCATTCATTGGCTGTCTCCTGTGTGTGCCCTAACAGGGAATCAAACTCACAACCTTGGTGCATTGGATGGTGCTCCAAGCAGGTCAGGGGTAAAGCCCAATTTTAAATTCCCAGCCACATTGGTTGAGTGGTTGGTTAGGGAGCTCCAAAAACAAGAGAGGATAGAGTGCTTGCCCTTACATCCTCTGGGGCTCACATAATCCCCATTTAGCTTCCTTAGTTTCTTTCTTTCTCCCAGCTTCCCTTCCTTCAACTATCGAGTGTAGTATCAAAATAAACCAAATTTTGTTTTCTTTTTCTTCTAGAGCAGGGGACAAATACTGGACTTTCAATATATATTTATTGAATAAATGAATGACCCTTCAGTCCCTCTCAAAAGAAGTAATCATGAATAATATTTATAGCCCTCCTTACTTTTTCCAAAGTGTTTTTAAATTATAGAAAAGAAGAAACTGAATTGAACTAATTACATTGAGATACTCTTTTACAGGGCTTAATGCTCATGAATATGTACATGAAAAGCTGACTAATACTACGTTAGCTCAGAGAAAGCTGTATTAATTCACACATTTAAAAACACACTGGAGATAGTTCAGCATCGATGCATTTGAGGATTTTGTTAGCCTTCTGTGCAGTCATTCACTTATTCTTCGACTCGTCAAATATTTATTGAGCTTGCTCTGAACCAGGAAATGGAGACATCAGTTCTTGTCTGGAGCAGCATATAGACTCATGATAAGTGTCGCATTAGCAAACCCTGTTCCAAACAAAATAGGAACTAGAAATAAAGACCCGAACTGTGGAGTGATCAGCCCTCCATTCAGGCCTGTACTGGGTAGCTTTAGAAAGCATAAAACCCTACTATTCACAATGACCCACAAGCTGCCTGAGGCTGGTGTCTGCTCAGTGGACATGATGTCAATATAAAGACTAAAAAATTAAAACAAATGCCACCTTTATTCCTCTCTGTGATACATCTTGTATTTGTAATTGGAGACTTATTTGCAGGTGGATATATTTCTGATGAGAAATTTTGTTACCTTTCATAAATATAATTGTTCCTAAATATCGAGACATAATACTTACATGAACAAAAGGGAAGGTAATCTAAAAGTTATGATTTTTTTCTTGGATCATTTGTATTTACTCAGAGAATTCATGTAACTTAGAAGGCCTGTTTCCTTCTTAGCCATCTCTACAGTTGATTGTTTTAAGGTACTGCTAAGTATTGACTTTTGACTGTATTAAAATCCTTACTATTTTCTTTTGTCTTGAGAAGAAAATTCTTTCTTTTCTGAAGAAGAGATGACCCCTCCTTTAAATGGAAACACACTTCATATGTTATTATCATTTAAATGGCAAAAAGGACAAAGAAAGGGAAAAAAATCCCACAAAAAATATAACTGCCATTATGATTTTAATTTATAAGGCATTTTTCCTTTCCCAGTTCCTGTGCTGGCCAATGTTATAATCATACTGGGTGACATTTCTATATTCTCTTCCCCCCTACCTCAATTCTGTGCCAACACAACTATGCTCATATAACCATCATTCCACATGGCAACAAAACATAAAACGTATTGAGTACCATTCACCAGACCATTCATGAAGACAACATTGAACTTGAATTGGCCTAATTTTCCTTCTTTTCCTGAGCATCTATCTACCCAAGTATTCTTCCCAAAGGAAGAAGGTTGTTCTGGGCTGGCTACTACTAGTTTTCCTGCCAGCCCTCCAATTAGAAATTCTGAAGCATTCTCTCCTTGCCCCCCACCCCACCCCCCACGTGGCTGTGTTATATCTCTGAGGCCTGTGACCATTTAGTTTTCTGCTCTATTTCTTCTCTGTTTAGACACTGCCATGCCTCATCCCACATACTAATTACTGACTTTTTGCTTCTGTGGTGCTTGGTTCATTGTGTCACATTTTCCCATGTGAAAGTGGACCAGGAACCTTGGCAAGGAGGTTAATGGATTTGAGAGTCACTCTCATTTAACCCTAGAACCTTGCAGCACAATGAGAACCAGTGGCTGACCTATTTTATAAACCAAGCTGTAGACAGCTTCAGCAAATTAGTAAGGATTTCACCACAGTGGCAAGCTTCTACAGAACCTGAAAAAGTCTGATGATACTCACTCCCTCTTCCTACCTTTACATCTCAAACTTTGGTTGAAACTGCTGATTTTGTTCTTCTTATACCTTAAATGGGGGCCATATTGTGGATTAGAAATAACCCCAAAGTGGATTTAGTACTTAAGGATGTTAGATTCTGCCACAAATTAGATTGCACAAACTTTCCATATTATCAGGTTCATTTCTTGGGTCTCAATTTCCTTATCTTTACTAGTAAAATGAAGTTTGGTCAAATGATCTTTACCATCCTATCTGGCTCTAGGAGTCTGTGATTTTAAAGAGCTCTATTTGTTTATTCAGAAAACCATTTGTTTGACCCTGTTATTTTCCAAAGGACCCTTAATACAAATTTGAAAATGTAAACAAGAAGAACACTGGTATTTTATTTCTGGAGATTTCTGTGGGGTAATCTTACCTTTAACACAAATTTTGTCACATTGTTTTCCCTGTAAGGCTCACAGAACAGGCAAGGGAGCAGAAGACATAATTAGTCTCGAGGGGACATAGGGAGGGCACACTTACCTTGTTAAAATCAAGCCTTCAATTAAGCTGTACAAAGAGAAAGGGAGACTGAATTGGCCTTATTCAGTATTATCACCAAAATTCTTTAGCTCTTCATCACCATTAGCTGAATAGTACTGAATATAACCCCTTGTATGTAGATTGCATGCAACTGTCTCTCAGAGGCTACATTGAAACAGTACATTCCATTGTGGTCCTCGAGATAACACTTCTCCTGACTTCACACAGGCCTCCAGGTAATTTTCCTCAAAGCAGTCATTATAGATAAAGTAGAAGTAGAATAGCAACAGTGAGAAAGACATCCCAAACTTTCATTAAAATCCACTTTTGGCTCTTTTCTTAGAGGATCACCACGTGAATGGAGAAGGAAAAGAAAGGGCTTTCTGACTGTCGCATTGAATAAATATTTTTGATTAGAGTGTGGAGATGTCTTTTAAATCTTTGGAACTAGCTCAGACCAGGAAAAAATTACCTCTCATGTCTCCCACACTTATTTTTCTTCTTGAATTCTTTTGTGTCGTAACTTCTTGGTCTATAATAACTAATCTATAGCAAGAGAGAGCCATCATTGTTCTACAGTCTTATCTATTATTATTGATGTTGTTAAATCACCACTATCTGTTGGAATCAGTTGTTTTATTCCATCACCACCATTCATATTTCAGAAACTCTTGCATGTCCATTGGAATGAGTACAGGTTCTCTATCTCCGCCCCGCCCCTCTATCTAAAAGTTGAGAGTTTCTGTGAAATCTTTCTTAAGCTGAAATGGCACATCACCTTAGGGCACATCTTGCTAAGGGAGGCACGAAGTAACACAGATGCTGACAGACACAGTTCAAAGCTAAGGCAGCTTGATGCTTCAATGCTGAATTTCTGGGGAAGAAGGTTGGCATGCAGGGTGCACGCTGCTTCTATAACAGCATGTTGCAAAACACTTTTTCACCATTTTTTCATGAGTGCAAATATCATTTTTGGATTTCTCTGCATTGATGGAAACAGGTACTAATGTAGGTCTTTTGTAAAAGCAAAGCCTTAGCAGCCCTAGTCAATTCAAGGGCTGACCGTGTGGTTGGGTGCCTCTGTGCATTATCTGCCTCAAGCTGGAAGGTTTCAACCATGGGACTTTCCTTCAACATCTTTGCAACCAGGTTAAACCAGTTCCAACTAATTACCCAACAAACAATTTAATCTTCCTCTATATTGATGATACACTCAACTTAGGAATCACAATTTATCTTCAGAAGTGGTATCTATCTCTCTTAATTTAGCAGAGTCCCACAACAGCTATGGGAACTAGAATTGCATTTGCATACCCATTTTTTTCAGATGATAATATCGAGACTGGATGAACTGTGATCTTTTCCTGCCACTTCAGAGAGAAAGCCTGGACTTGGAGCTCATTTGATGTAGAGTGTCCTTATATCTCAGAGTGGCAGGCACCGCCACATTTGTTTGCATACAAATGAAAATGATACTCACACCTACACAATTTTCTATTCTATTGTTATTTTAAAAGACCTTTTTGCTAACTCTATTTCTTTTTTGCATTATTTGCCAAATGGGCCCATCTACCTGTTGAAGTTGCAGGGGACAGTAGAAACTGAGTGATTCCAAAAGGATCCTTGGTGTGATGGTATGTTTTCTCTCTTTCTCCAGGCCCACCATCAGCTCCCCTAAACTTGATTTCAAAAGTCAATGAGACTTCAGTGAACTTGGAATGGAGCAGTCCTCAGAACACGGGCGGCCGCCAGGACATTTCCTACAATGTGGTGTGCAAGAAATGTGGAGCTGGTGATTCTAGCAAGTGCCGACCCTGTGGCAGTGGGGTCCACTACACCCCACAGCAGAATGGCCTGAAGACCACTAAAGTCTCCATCACTGACCTCCTGGCTCATACCAATTACACATTTGAAATCTGGGCGGTGAACGGAGTGTCCAAGTATAACCCTAGCCCAGATCAGTCAGTGTCTGTCACCGTGACAACCAACCAAGCAGGTAGGAAGCAGATCCACCTTATATGATCTAAATGTGCACGGTATAGAGAAGGGACTTGTGTTGATATCCGTGAATGATATTAAAGTTACACAATTAAAGTAGAACAACATGGACCTAATTATAAACATGTGAACTGTATTATAAAACAAAAGACTCTTAGATGAATATTTATTCATTCAACACATAAAGTTGTGGACATTAACTGCATAACATACTAGGAGAAAGAGATTAAATTAAGACCAAGAGAGTGATCGAAACCAGATAACAGTCTGGTGAACTGGGTCACTCCATGCTAGATTTTTTTTTTTTAAGGGATTTGGACTGGCCATTTTAATCACAATGTCCATGGTTGGACATTAGAACATTTATAGATTATTTAGAATTATAAAATTGATTTTTACTAATCTGTATTGGTACATTTATATTTGCTGTAGTATATTTATATTTTCTGTTAATGGTGTATGAACTGCAGAACTATTACAAAATCTTGAATATCAGATACTTAAAAATGAAAAGTAGAATCTAGAATTTTAGGCTCCAGCCCCTGACCCACTCATCCCCATTCCTCCCCTGAAGAAGTTTCCACGCATCCTCATGCGAATTTTCCATTCTGGACTTCTGCCACATGTTTTCCATTGCCCGCTCCCTGTTACTTATTTCTGGAGAGTTAAAGGGAGCAGGAAAAAAAACCTGTAGTTTATCCTTCAGTGAGGCTCTTAAGAACAACAAACTTTGCCGGCAAAGCATTATAAATTGCCCACAATCCTATCACCTCTTCCTGCACTTTTCTCTTAAATGCATGTTTCAGTAAGTGCACTCAATAGTTAGGTAAAATATGTCTGTACTAATTGATCTCTAGTGAGAAGTATTCCAGTGTACCTACCCAAAGCCATTATTTTTCAACTTCCCCCTGAACTCTCTAGAATAAATAAAAAGTTAAGACTTGGGGAAGATTTTGAACTGGAGCTAGAAAGGAAAGTCTTCCCCAAAGGCAGCTTTGGTGATACAAAGGTGACTGGTCTTTTAAAATATGTGGTATGAACCAATCTCCGGTTATGCTTTTGTATTGTATTTCTGCACTTCTGGGTTGTGAACGCTATTTGTGGCCATTGGTTTTATTTTCCTATAAAAACTAGAATGATTTAGGACTGTGGTCAGCAAACCGCGGCTCACGAGCCACATGCGACTCTTTGGTCCTTTGAGTGTGGCTCTTCCACAAAATACCACGGCCTGGGTGAGTCTATTTTGAAGAAGTGTGTTAGAAGACGTTTAAGTTTTAAAAATGTGGCTCTCAAAAGAAATTTTGATCTTTGTACTGTTGATATTTGGCTCTGTTGACTAAATGAGTTTGCCAACCATTGATTTAGGAGGGTCAGATGGCATCACAAGTACTCTGTGACATCCAGACTTAGACCAGTGCTCTTTTGGGAGAATGCCCTGGATATGCCACATGTTGATCCTGGGAAATGCATTGGTGTCACTGGTGTATCTGTGTTCAAAGGAGCCAACGAGGTGCAGAGTGATCTCTGCACACCCTGGAGAGTCTGATTTGTGAGCCAATCCATATCCTTACGTTCAGCTCTGAAGCACCTTTCCAGCTTTTCGCAAAACACATCACTGCTTCGTGTTCTTCACTGAATTAGAACTAGGATTGGAGACTGTGAGGCCTTCGTGTACAGGTGAAGTCATCCTCTTTGGCAGGGAACAGCATCTGGGAGAAGTGCTGAGGACAGGCTTGGCTCCCACAGATTTTGTGGGGAGACGTCTATGACTCTCTATACACCTAAGGACTCAAGCCAAAGGATTATGTCAACCCCCGCCAGGCCAGAAGGGGCAAGGAGTGGGACGAAGACAGGCTACAGAGGCTCCCTCTACAATGAGGGAAGAAAACTGTCAGAGTTGGACTAAAAATGTAGGTGTAATTCTTTTAGATCTAAGAGAAAGGTGGACAGGGAATTCCTCTGACACAGTGAGGTTGTTTTCTCCGCCATGGTGAGCAGTCCTGGCAGGAGGTTTGCTGAATAGGACAAAATTCCAGTTCCTTATTTTAATTTTCATGAAGGGTGATGCTGGGAAGCTGTTCAAAATTAAAAATAAATCTTTCAATAAGGAGACCTCCTATGTGGCCAGCCAGAAAGCTTTTGCTTAGCCGCGTTGTATATGTGCACAGTCCTGCCTCATTATCCTACCATAATTTGGAGTTCACTAATTCAAACTCATTGGGGGTAGTTTATCTTTGATTAACAAACCCTTTCTTCATAGTGGGCAGATTAATAATGTAGGCCAAAATTCTGGTGGAATGTAGCAATCATAAATGCTATCAAAGCTCTCCTAAGCATATTGCACATACACAATTATATTCTAATTGCAACCGTTTCTATGATTTCATTAAATTAAATTCCTAAGGAACCTCTATAGGCAATGATGTCTCACTCTATGAGGAATACACAGAATCAAGGAATATTAGCATTTACAACCTGGAGGCCACAAAGTTTTATGGCTCTCATTTTTGCTCAGTTTTCACAGGGTTCTTTCTCTCATCAGTAACATATTTAAGAACACGCATAAAACCCTCTAGAATTTCTGGTTTTATCATCACCACCTCTGAGACCACAGATGAACAGCCCAGTGAAGGTGAAATGACTCATCCAAGCTAATGTCAGAGCCAGTGACACTTGAAACCAGAGAGAGCTCCCTTCTTTTTAAATTATTACATAATTAATAGCACTCATATATTCTGCTTGGCATTCTCCCCATTTGTGAGAGCAGACTGGGCAAGGAGGTGTAGCTTTAACTGGGCTTTGATCCTTTTGTTGTAGAATGTGGTGTGAATGGGCTGGTCTTCTCACATGGCTTTTTAAACTATTCTAACCTACATCTTTACTATGGTGTCTTAGGGGCTATGACACCTTTTCCCTCCCCTCCTGAGTTCAAAACTAATTGACCCAGAAGATAAGACAAAGGGAACTCAGAATCTCAGCTTTGTTGCTGATCAACTGATGGAAGAATGTCAGCTTTATATCTGTGGTCAAAAGGGCTAACTAGCTCTAGTAACACTTACCCACTATCACCCCCAAACACTCTAACCCAGCTGGCCAATTGTAAGCTCCCTTCCATATAAAGCTTGTTCCCCTAAGTTTGCCCAAATGGTCACTCTGGGCAGTTAGGCAGGCTTGAGAGAGCAGAGTGGGTGGAGCCAAGACATAGTTCTTCTCCCAAATCCTCTTCATGAGATAAGTCACCCCACTTCCACCTCTATGCCAAGACCAGTGAAGGAGAGGTGGGGAGAGGGTGGTGGGTGGGAGCTCCAATTGAAGTTGCCCTACACAAAAACAAGGATAATGAATGTTCTCCTTAGAATGCCTTTTCAACATTACAGACCAAAAGGGACAGGGTGAGATTGCCCTTGAAAACTCTTATTTCCCTTTCCTTCACTTTCTATCCTCTGGCAACTGCTCTGCCTTTTGTTTAGAAGGAGATGGCTCTGATGTTTATGAAAAATGGATAAGCAGACTGCTGGGTGATTTGTTTTCTAGATGGCTTTCCTTTGGTTTACTTTTACTTAAGTGGACCATCTCAGGCAAATAAATACAGCATGTGTCACTAGGAGAGAAAAATGCTGTATAAATGAAATAAGGTTTTCCTGGCCGAGCAACAGAACTGTGAATATTTTTGCTAAAATGCTGTGATGGCTGCCAGCAGATCTTAATATTAGTGAGCCTGTTTTTACTGTGCACCCCCAGATCCCCACACCCATCTTCCAGCCATGGGGCTGGACCATTCTCTAGATCATGTTATTTTAAGTCCTTATGAAATCCTATGGCTGATCATCTATACTAACCCCAAATTGTACCCAAGGGCAGTGATGTTTGAGTTTTATTTTGCATGTGACACTGTTCCAGATATTTCACAGTGAAATACATCTGCTAATCTCTCTTCAGCACAGCTGTGGTGTCCCAGTGACCAACATCTTGAAAACTCTGAGTTCACAGGAGTTCAGATAGTTGATGGATTATATAATTATTTGAACCTAGCTGGTCTCTAAGATCTTTTCCAACCCTAAATTCTATGACTCCAAGGACATAGACATGAGCTATGAGCATGAGGACGTGGGGCTTATTTCTCTCTGATGTTCAGAAACTGGCTCTAAAGGCAATTTCAAGAGTGGGGAAAATTCCAAAAATGCTTCAGTAGAATTATCAGAATACATCTGAATCCTGCCTTTCTTTCACCCCTTTAAGCCCCACCCTGCCAGGCAAAGTATTTACTTCCTAGGGCAAAACAGTAAGCTAGCTGTACCTCCAACATAGCTATTCCATGTTCCTCTCCAGACATTTTTTTGGCAATGTCTGGGGACATTTCTGATTGTCCCAACTGGAAGCTGGGCTATTTATCTAGTGGGTAAAGACCAGGGATGCTGCTAACCATCCTAAAATGCACAGGACTGACTCCACAGTAAGTCATTATCTGGTTTGAAATTTCTGTAGTGGCAAGACTTAGAAACATTGCTCTAAAGACGTTTGAATAAATAGGACTTGTGACTTCATAGCAGTGCCCACCTTATAAGGGTTCTATGGTCAACCTGTCTTAGCTTGTTCCCATTGCTCCGTGTGGGGAACCTCACACTCTCACGTTGTTCTCAGAGGATAGGTAGGTAGAGAAGGCCCTTTGGGACTTCTTGTGGAAAATCCCTGTTTGCTTTCCCCTCGGATGAACTGGTGCTGCTTGTTAGACTGGCCTTGTTCTCTGGGAAGACAATTTTTAAAAACTGCCAGGAAACGCCTCATCAACAATCAAGTGGCAGGACACCTCTTCGTGACGCCAGCACCGCACATAGCAGATGTTTGTTGGTTAACACATTTATTTACAGTAAGAACAATCAGTGAACTCTGTCGAGGAGTGAGAAATTGAATGTAACCAAAATAATGAGTAAAGAAAAGAAAATAACGAAGTACAAGAGGCATACTGTCTTCTATTGCTCAACTGGGACATTCCCATTC